GGTGTATGGTGGGGTGTAGAAGGATGCCAAAGTGAGCGGGACACTGGAGAAGCTGAGCAGGATCCTTGGCAGCTGCAGCTGCAAGAGTCCCACCCAGAAGTTGCGCACTGGCTGGCCCGGGCTCTTCCGCCCACGTGGAGCAAGGTGTGATAAAGTATGTTGGCGGGGGTTGTACGTTAACATGGGCGCCTCGCTCCCACCCTTGTGGGAAGAAGGGCTGGGTAGGGTGCAATTAGTCGGTGGGTGCCGTGGCCCAGATGAAAGTGCCTGGTGAGCTAGATTTGGCCTGCCAGTTGTATTTTGCCTTCCCCTGCACTACTCTCTGCTACCGGTCTTCTAGATTAGCCCAGACATTCCTTACCCATAGCTCGCAGGAATTCCTCATAGAGTTCGAAGGTCATGAGAGGATTAGGCAAATCTCTCAGCCACTGTTTGAACACACTGGCAATGACGTGAATGTTGTAGTCATCTAGATTCACATTGTCAATATCTATTCACAAAAGGAAGTGAGAGTGGGTGGAGTGGAAAGAATTCAAAGAAAATAATTCCACATAATCAGTTTTGAGACATAGGACAAGCCAATCTTTTCGTATTGGTGCAATAACCAATGCTAGTGCAAATACTGACTTAAAAGAAAGAATTTTTAATCCAACACCATACACCATGCAGTAGCCACGAGAAAATCCCTGGCTTCTGGTTTGTACTTTGGGCTCCTATACATGTACAGGGAGGCTGCTCCAACACACTGTCATTACTATGAATAGAGTCTGCTGGGGCATGGAAATTACCACACACCAGCAGACCACAGTCACGTGCATCAGCATCCTCGTGCTGAAAAATGGCAGTGGGGGTGCTTTAAATAAAGCTCATTCGACAAGCTTTAGTTAAAGTGCCCCCACCGCCATTTTTCAGTGGGGGGACACTAATACAACATGATGCTCTGGGCACTTTAATTAGCATGGCTCTCAGAGCTGCACTAATTAAAGTGCCACCCCTTGCCTCCCAGAGGACGTTTATAAACATCCTTTGTGTCCAAACCTTGGTTAACAAAAGCCAGAATGTATGCTGTTCCCTTTGAAACAGCCTGAAACCATTTCAAAGACAGCTTTCTGCTGCAGGATCAGGAGTACCCTTGGGTCCCCCACCAATCCTCCTGCACCCTACCTGTGTCAAGCCCTTGGCGGAGCTCCTTGATTTTATTGGTGGAACCAGACTTCCGATAAATGCCTTCAGTGTACAGCCCATGCATTTCAATGTAGTTGATGAGCTTCTCTACCACTACCGGTACCGCTCGCTCTTCGCTGGTCAGCCGGGAGAGTTCAACCCCAAATTGTCGCGAGGAAAGTTCTGGATCGTACTAACATGAGGAAAAATGGTGGAGTTTTAATTTGGTGGAAAAAGCATCAAGGCAATGCTGCTCAACTCCAGGGTGTCTCGGGACTGATAAACCACCATTCAAAGACAGGTCATCTTTTTAACTCAAATTCCAGGGGGTCTCAACGCATTCATCCAATAAATCTAACTTAAGGCACAGGAAGAGAGCTGAGGCTTGCACATGGTGTTTTTGATATATGATACCACTCTTACAGTGTTGCATGCATCTTCCTGATTTTATAAGCAGAATTGAGTTACTTTACCTGGTTTTTAAGCATTTTGTGTCCTTGTATCTGACACCTAATCATGTTATTTACTAATGACAACTGATGCCATAACTAAGTACTAGCTGTACAACTAGGAAAACAATGGGACTGCCCCAAATCTATGGGCTCATCAGTATAAGCACGCTGGTTTGGCTGCAGCCGAGTGGTTTACAGCCAGAAAGGTAGCAAGAAAGAAATAAAAACACTCAGTCCAAAGAAACCTTTCTCGAATACAACAGCTACTTGGTGTAAGTTCATTTTCAGAACACCAGAGAAGAAACAGGAACCAATTTGCCTAGTTAATCTTTAGGATTTGGAATAGGGTGACCATATGTCCCATTTTGGCTGGGACAGTCCTGGATTTCGTAGGGCATTCCAGTGTCCCGGCTGGTTTATGAGAATTGAGGTAAAAGGGGGGCTAGGGCCAGGGCTCAGATACCTGTGCAGAGCCAGCTGGGATAGCGAAGTGGGGCAGGGTGGGACAGCACAGAGGTCTGCACCTGGTTCCTTCCCCTGTGCCCAGAGGCTGGACCTGGCTGGGAGCCACTCCTGTGCAGTGACCCCCCAGGGTGCACTAGCTTGTGTATGCAGCCACATAACACTTCCCCCACACTGCCAGCAGCCTTGTGCCCTGCTGCTGCAGCCACTGCTGAGGCCTGGGCTGTGCATAAGAGCTCTGGGCAGCTGCTAGTGGTGGTGCGGGAAGCATCCTGTGGCCGTGCAGCACAGGCTGGCAGAGTTATTATTGTAGAGACACAGGATACACACTGTCAGTGTGATTGGAAACATTGCTGAGAAATTCTCTCAAAGCAAACACATTTGAATATGCATTCAAGATTTAACAAAAAAGGGATCTAGATCCTTTTGCATGAACATCTAGTTATGCCCAGAAAAAGGTATGATCACTCTGGGATAACACACAAAGTCTCCTTTGTACGTTGTCACTGGCTGCAAGAATATTAAGTATGATAAAAGAACCAAGGTTCACTCACTAACAAAGATCTTACATGCAAAGGAAAAAAAGCAGTATCATAGGTTGGCGAATATAACAGCAGCAGATATCCAAGGCCTTAGGTAGGCTCCTGGTATGATCTATTCCACAATGTGCATTACAAAAGTCAGATCTGCTGAATTCTAATGACAGTTATAGTTTGAATTCCCCTAAAATGCTGTTAAATGAGGCAAGCTCCTACTGCTGGCAAGAATATTAAAGGCTCAGGGAGCAGACAACTGGTGCAGTAGGTGCCGCATGAAAACATTACAGCCCTGCAGTTGCCTGAAGGAGCGAGCTCATCTCTGCAGCTAAGACACACATGAGCATGCAACCTGGTATTCTACTAGGGTCACCCGCTCCTTAACACCCTAATTAAAACTGAGATCGAGGAGATCAAGGTATCTAGCCCAACAGGTGGAATGAGCCGGTCTTACCTTTTTGGAGCACTTGGTTGTAGTTTTAAGACAGCACTTCTTGTGACAAGCGTACTTACATACTGCAATAATGAAAAACAATACTGCTGAGTATTTCACACCTTCAAATCTCTCCACAGCCAATACTCCTCTGGCTACAGTGGCTTTACTAACTTGTCAGGAGTTACTGGACAGTATGAGCTTTACAGCCTTTTGACTGACATTTTTGTCCCAAATTTTAATGTCAGGTCTCAACAGTGCACAGAGTCTTCACGAATGAAAACCAACCGTTTTATTTCAAAAAACCCACATCAAAACTGAAAGTTTGGAAACATTTATAAGTCTGGTGGATCAGTTCAGAAGATATGTTGTGCATTTAGATATTTCAGCCCTTTCTTTCTGATCAAAGAGCCACCAGGAAAATTAGCACACTCTGTCCTAAAATTGGACCATTTCCTGGGCTCAATCACCTCAAATGTAACTCTTCTAAATTGAATTAATCAGTCTTGGGCACAAAGAGGCATTAGAAATGTGGCAGGATCAGACCAGGTGACTATAGCTCAGATCTTATTTCCTTCTCATATTTTTCTCATTCATCTTACTGTCGCTGTAAAAGGCTAATTAAAATCATCTTGCCTGGGTTCGAGACTCAGCAATAGACTTACAGTGCCATGACAGAGATTCAGGTATAGTTCTGACAAGGGGCCTCTCTCTTCTCCCCACCCACCACTGGTTGATATCAGGAGCCCCTAGATGGGTCCCAAAGGGTTCCTGTTCTGATGGCTGCAGAGTGCGTGGGTAGGGAGAGCGAAATAATAGTGGGCATCATTAGGAGCACAGAAGGCATCACCAGGAAGCAAATCCAAGAAAGGCTAAACAGTCCATGCTCACATTTACAAACAGAAGCTCTGTCCATTATCCAGATCAAGGAGGAGCAGTACTCGCAGTAAGTGGGAATGCTGTACTGGGTTGCCTTAAAGATGTGACCATTATGTTCTTCAACCTGCAAAAAAAGGAGGATAAAAGATTCAGAAACAAAAGGGAAACAGAGGCGCAAACTGGTTTAAACCGAGGGTACAGCAGACTGAACAACTAATGTCAATATCCAAGGATCCTGAAATCAAGTATTATAATAACTGTACATCGACAGGGCCCCCCACCCCCTGCCCAAGTGCAGCCAAGCCATTGCAATTTTTACCTTGTTTCATTCAGGGCTAAAGGTACAGTGCTTTAGCGCATTTGTACTGCTACAGGAGCATGCAGACTTAACAGTTAAAGCCTAACTATAGATGGGTACTCCTAAGTAACAGCTCACTTTCTGCTTTTAAATAACTTAAAAGTTATGTTTTTTGTCCACAGCCCAAGTGAAGCAGTCAAACATCAAACTTTGACAGTTGCTGGCTCTTTCTGGGGAGGAATGAATTCACGAGAGACCTTAGCTAGAGATTTTCATAAAGAAGTGCATGCTTTTGTTTAAACATTGTATTTTTATCTGCTACCAGCAAAGGAAATTGGAATTAGACTGCACTAAACTGAAAGACAATGACAGACAGACACAAAGGTGAGACTAGTTCATTTAGTTAGCCTAGTGCACAGCTAGCAGGCTTCTTTCTTTGGGATTTGCATTTACTAAGGTACAATCTACCCACTGAGACTGCCTTCACCACAATTCCTTTATCGATCATTCAAATGTGCAGACTTCAGTTCTTTAACAGTGCAGTACATGTTACATATATTACACAATTAATGGGTTAATCGTGCAATAAGTTTAGACTAGCCACATGTGCAAAGTAATCATCATACAACTAACTGATTAATTGCATAATAAAGTTGGACCTGCTACATGGGCAAAGTAATTATCATGCAATAAAAATGGTTCTTCAGCTATAAAACGAGCCAACCAGCTACAAAGTTAGTGTTTGAAAATGTGTAGAACTAGTTTCTATCCAGCTTTCATTTGAATGTGTAGCCCTAAAGTTCAGAGATTGCAACTTACCACATCTGCTTCTTTTTTCCTTCTCTTTTTTCTCTCTGTTTTTGGCACCTGTGAGGGCTAAAAAGAGATTTAAGAGAATTAAAGCAGAGACTAACAGTTTCACTTCAAAGTCAGCTAAATTCTTGAATTTCTCCTCTTCCTTCTCTTTACCCTGAACTACACATTCAGGCCCAGTGATACTTAATGCAATTCATGCTGATAAAAATGAAGGGCTCTCTGGAGTCAGGAAGAAGCAGCTCTCCCACACTGCACTATCAATCCTCTGTCATGCCAGTCTTCACCATCCCTATAAGCTCTATCACTGCACCTCAGTCCAGTCCTGCAGCTCGCTCAGACATTCCAAGTCCTAGCACATCTCTCCAGTTCTGCCTGTGCACCTTTGTCTTCCAGGCAAACGCATTGTAGGTAAAAATTGAATAAGAACCAGGAGACACAATCCCATTTCCAAAAATCAGCAGGAATAAGTTGTCCATTATCAAAAGCCTTTGCTTTGCCTAAGAGTCCCAAGAGTTGAAAAACCATCATAGCAAATTCAGATTGTGGGTAGCAGGCAAATACAACATGACAGCAGAGACAGCTATGGCCAACATTTGCAATGACTCACGGGGCATTTGTACACGTCACATTTTTTGCCCTTTCTTGTGATGGAATGGCGTGACTGCTTGCACAAGTGGGTTTTCAGGATGCTTTAAAAGTCTTCCTGGTGCATTAAACTAAAACTCCTCGGACGTAGTTTAGTTTGGCTTGCCATGAATTAAAGTGTCGCATCCATGGATTCATTGTGTGCAAACACAAAGGCACTCAAAAATGTGTAATGAGCCTCTTTATCCACCAGATGGTGCTGCCACTTTTTTGCAGTTCACCTGTTCCAATTGCTGCTGCTTTTTTTTTTTTCTTGTGCCACATGAAAGCTCCCTGTTCCCACAGCTGTGTGGCAGGGCACAAGGTGGGCGGCCCCAGGCCAGGGGGGCAGAGGGGACTGTCCCGCTCTCCTTCAGCACCAGCTGGGGACTGGACTTAATTAATTCGAAAACCTAGTATGTACAAACACTTATGTGATGCTCCGAAACAAGTTTAAATTTTATAAACCTATTTAATTTAATGAGGATTAAACCCCATGATGTGTACAGGTGCTCAAGAGTTCCTGGCCTGCAGAGGTTGTTGGCTATGGTTGCTTTCCCTGCAACTACTAGATACTTCCAGCCTGGCTTGAGATCCAGTAGTTGTTTGCCCTGCAAGGACAAAGGGGCAGGCAGCGGGAAGCCTGCATGTGTGAATGGCAATATAGAGGGCCCGGGACATGAATATTGCAGGTTCTGACTGCTCCACAGCCCTCTGTATGTTGCCCTGCTGTTCTGTAGCCAGAACAGTCACCTCCTCCCTGCTCCATTCTCTGAAGAGGCTTTTCAGCAGCAGCCATGGCTGAGTGGGTTGTGTAATCAATTCAATTCTTCTTCCCTTTACTTTCAAAGGAGTGTTCATATTCTGCTCTCTTACTGGGTTCATTCTCATATTGGCTTAGATGAAACTTTTCATTTTCAGATCCTGAAAGACTTAAAGCAGCAATGCTAAAATGAGGAGGGAAAGACCCTGAGAGAAGACTTTATTAGATAAATTTTAATGCTAAGTTAGAAATGTTTATATGTATATAACGAAATCAGAGAACAACAAATCACAGTGATGCATCAGTGTAACTGTTTACAGCTGGTTAGACAGCTTGGTTCAAGCAGTGAATAAGATAACAAGTGGAACCCAAGAGTACCTTGAGGTGCAAGTTGGAGACCTTTCTAAAACAATAACCCCCTTCATACGATTCTACCTCCATCACTTCTGTTACCTGACCTAACACATTAAGTCTACATGTGTCCAGTATCCATCAATAACAAGAAAAAAGAAAAGTTGCAGCTAGAGCCAAAAACAGAAAGAAAAAAGAGAAAGGAAGAGGACTCCTCTCCCCGTTATACTTATCACCTTATTACCCATTTTATTTTAAATCATCTAGGATACCTCAAATCTGTTCTAAACTTCCCCATGTCTTAAAAACCTAATACACTTGCTTTTACCATTTTAATCAAGGGCTCTTATTCAACCTAACACTTTAGCTTCACTAAAATCGGTCTATATGTCATTTGGTTTAAAGTTTCGCTTACATCTGAAGTTAAGTAAAATGTAAAACTTTCCAAAACTTCGGGCAACAGCTGGGCAGGTGGTCACCAGGACAGGACAGAGAAGCACAATGGAGAGAACATATTTAACATCAAGGCACAAGTGACCAGAGCAACAGGAGAGCAGAGGTACAGAAGATTGTCCGCCTGCTCTGGTGAATTCTGCGATATATTACTTCGTCTTCTCCCATCCTTGGAAGACGAAAAAAATTTTAGATTTACCAGAACGTGCCCAAGAGTCTGCGGTCTACCCACATTGGTAAAATCTTGTCCCTGGAGACATTTTCCACACATTGCCAACTGAAGAACTTCTGAGACAAAGCACGATGCCCATTTTTATTGGGAGCTAACTCCCAGCTTTGCTGTGAGGAGGAAGTCTAGTTTTTTTTAACTCGGAGGAAAAAGCATCAGTGAGCTAATTTGGTTGTGCTCTGAAAGTTCACGAGCCTCCATTTTAGCAAGTTTGCTGCATCATGTCCTGGACAGCCCCACTTCCAACAGCTGGTTGTCCACCTTTCTTCTGACGTCTCTGGAAATGACATCTTTTCCATTATCAAATGGAGAAAGAATTATTCCGAGTGAACTGTACTCATCATCAGCCAGGATGTTGTCAGTGCAGCTCAAATCCTTACTAAGATGCACTGCATTAATGAATAATCTAGCAGGAGGGAGCACTGGAGATACTGGATAGGTTCCAGAACTCATCAGTGACCTCTTAGCCTAAGCAGACACAGAAATGGGTGCCAAAGCTAAACAAATGCTGACTTTACTGAACAAAAGGAGGCAAACCTTCACTGGCAGGGTGGTTAAAGAAAAGGAGGCTCTTGCCACATTGGCAGCATCATGCCAGAGTGATGCAATTTATGAATCTGCCTGGCCCCATTTCAGTAAGGAGAAAGAAAACCTGGCAGTCCAGGTGCTATGTTTACCTTCACAGCAGCATAATCCAGAGGCTTGTATTCTATCATATATTCATCCAGAAATACTTTAAAGGTATTGACCCAGACTTTGACAGGTGATTCACTCCAGTCCCTCTGTTCAAGCCTCATGGTCTTTTCCAGAATTTGCTCGAACAAGGCATACAGGTCTTTATACCGGATGCTTTTCCCGTCATCCATCTTTTAAGGAAACAAAATGAGGAGGAAAAAGAACTTTTATACACAGGACTTTTCTACACTGCCTCATAACTGCTACTGCATCCTGACCGGTATTCCTGTGCTTTAAGTGGAAGGGTTGGATGTTTTATAGGACATATTTTAGAGCTCTTGGAAGTAAATGGCCATGTCTTGTAAAGTACAATGTGACTTTACACAAACACTTGAAGGGCAGAGAGTTCCAGAATACACCTGGTCGTGACAATACAACCAGTTCGACTGAAGCCACATTACACTGTACCCTAGCATAAAAGATCACCAGTCCACAGGGTAGCTTGTTGGTCTAGCGGTATGATTCTTGCTTTAGGTGCAAGAGGTCCTGGGTTCAAATCCCAGATGAGCCCAAGTTTTTAGGAGAGGAATTGGGGTCCTGGAGAGTAGGGAAACTGGGTGCCCAAAATGAGTGGGTGTTCCATAAAGAGACAATACAATCCCAACAAAAATTAAAGAGGGCAAGAGTGCTCAAAAGCCCCCCTGGCTCACCAAGGGCATTCAGGAATGCCCGATTGCCAAAAAGGAGGCATACACCCAGTGGAAGGGAGGAGTATACATCACCAAAGAGGAGTATACCTCCATTGTGCGGGTCTGTAGGGGGGCTGTTAGGAAATCTAAGGCAGATACGGAACTAGGGCAAGGATCAAGGACAACAAAAAGTCCTTTTTTAAATACATAGGGAGTGCGAAGGCGGCACTGGGTAATGTGGGACCCCTGCAGGATACACTAGACAATCTGGTGGTTGCACCAGAGGAAAAAGCAAACCTTTTTAACAATTTCTTTCTCTCCGTTTTTTTGTGCAGGGACCAGGACCCCCCCACCAAGATTCTGGATGGACTCAGGACAGACTCTGCCAGGCCTAGGGTCAGGGAGGACAGAGTTAGGGAACTTCTGGAGGGGCTGGACGTGTTCAGATCAGCAGGTCCAGACTCTCTCCACCCCAGGGTGCTGAGGGAATTGGCAGGCGGTATTGCGGGGCCCTTGGCACGGCTTTACAAGCACTCGTGGTGCTCTGGCCAGGTGCCGGATGACTGGAAGAGGGCCAATGTGGTCCTCATCTTCAAAAAAGGGAGGAGGGAAGACCTGGGCAACTATAGGCCCATTAGTCTTACTTTGATCCTGGGGAAGCTCTTTGAGCACCTCATAAAAACCTGATGTATGAGGCTAAGTACCACTGCCCTGCGACAGTGTGGAGGGGGTATTCCTGCTGAGAAACGTAAGATCAGGAAATCATTCTTGCAGATGCATACCTTTACTGAAGCAAAAAGCATCTGGGTAGAAGGTAGGAGTGTGCTGCTTTATAGGTATATCCAGAAGCAGGAAGAGTGCACACATTACATGGAATACACAGTTTGAATCCAAGAGAACTGGTTTCCCTCCTTCCCCCATTTTTCAATGCCCTAAAAAATTTTGCCAATGTTTCCACGATGCATTTAAACCCAAAGCTGAGTTGAGTGCCTTCATGAAAAGTGGGGACTCTTTTCTTCTTCCCCATAGAAAGGATCTACAAGCTCCAGACTTAACCATTTCCTGCCACATGAAAGCTCACTTACCGCCAAAGCTGATGAGTAAAAGCTGAAGATATTTTGCCGGAATTCTTTCAATGCTTTCTTAAACACAACATCTACAAGGGTGTCCTTTTTGCTGTCCTCGTTATCCAAATCATTCATCTGGGAACCACAGAAAAAAAAATGACCACATGAATTCTACGTGGCAATCTCACTTGTGCTTTAACAAAGCTTTGCATAAAATAAAGTAATATTAAAGCTTACGTGCCCTGTTATAAGCAAATTATTTGATAAGAATAGGTTATTAACAGCATATACTTTCTCATTTCTGTATGCTTTAGTGCTTAGAAAATACTTCCATAGTCACTTTCTTGCTCAGCTAGCGAGCCAATTAGTTACAAAAGTATGTAACAATCTTATTTTGTCCTAATGGCAGCAGACTTAAAACAGCCCTTTGGCTGATCCATTGTTTTCCTTCCAACTGAACTAACAGGAATGTTTTTCCCAGTACTAAAATGCCTGGATTAATTAACACTGTCTGCTAGGTTAACAATGGCTAGAATTTAATATAGCAATAGTCAAGCTTACAAGCTTTTGACCTACAATTGCAGTCTCAAATATGGTATTAACATTTCCACAGCTGGACTCAATACAGCAATCCTATCATAAGATGTGACCCCGACTCTAAGCAACAGAGGACAGTGACATTTTGTCTGCTACCTATTCTCTGCTGTGTTTTTGCTGACCTTGACAAAGGCCTGTACCTTTTTCAGGAGAAACTCATCCATGCTTTTCAAGTCACTGGCACTGGTTATGATCTGAAGAGAATCATTCTGCCACTGCACCGGCTCCAGGGCCACATTGCTGATCTTCACGCTGCGCTTGCGCTTCACTTTGGGAGATGGTTCTTTGTTCTCCTTGAATTCCCTTCTGTAGATGCCTGACAGCTCTGGGCTCCGTGGCGGTGTCAGATGATGTGGGCCCAGGTCTACAATCAACATAAGGTGGGAGGGGGGGTGGCGTGGTAAGAATAATGAAGTAGACTAAGCACAGTTCTTCTGGAGTGAGTGCCTTTCAGAAATGCTATAGTGATGTTCATTTATAATCAATTTTAGTTCTGCACCATAGGGTGCTGCAACACACACTGCTTTTCAGCAGCTTTGGCATCAAGTGTACTGTGTTTGCAAGCAATAGAAATGGCCTTTCCCAATGCTAGTACTGCATGCTCCACCTGGGACCTTCAAGTCAAGCTGGTTTGTCCGTTTCACCAACAATAAATGCAATGCGATTGGAAACTGGGTAACTGCTCTGCTGAGAAAGCTGGAGCCAGGAAAAAATCTAACTACTTCTCCCTGAGTGTCTTTCCAGTTGCACAACACAGTAACTGTATATAAGAAATCATCTTGTAATCTGATACGCCTCAGAGTGCGCTCATGGAGCAAATTTATAGGGGAGGGACCTGCCATGTCATTTTGTACTTATCACTTATCAGAGACAAGTTTCGCTTCTCTGTTACCCCCCTCCCATCCCCAGGTCAAATTGGTAAGACCCACCAGCCTCTAAGGGGTGCAGTGAGGGTTCATTATATGATGCTTGCACAGATTTGAAAATGGAGTCTTCTAAGCATGATAAAAACAGGTGCACTTTCCAACTCAGAAGTCTGGGCAAGCAGCTCTGTATAACAGAACACACACACCTTGCTCCACATCCCAGTTCTCCGGCATCCTGTGCAGTCTAGGAGTTGCTGGGAAATATGAGAAGGAAAGGCATTTTCTGCAGAGGTATTTTCTGCAGAAATCCTCAAACATTATACAAAAAAAAAAAGAGAATGAAGGTCCTTTGGCTGTTAGGATAAATGATAACTAGAGATCAAATATGAGATGTGCAATCCTTCAAGAGACCCAAGACCAAAGCTGTCAGATACTTGCAGCCATTTTGTAGCTGTCATACCCCATGTAGGGACTTCCTTTCTTTAAGTTATTGATGTATATATCTCTAATTTCAAATCCATCTTGAAAAAGGATGTGCGGGGGTGGGATTATGATATACCTTCAAGAGTAAATTGGATGCTTATCTTGCTGGGATCCTATGACCCCAGCTGACTTCCTGCCCTTCGGGCAGGGGGCTGGATTCGATGATCTTCTGAGGCCTCTTCCAGCCCTAATGTCTATGTCTATGAAATATAGCCTGATTTGTTAAAACTACTAGCGTGTTTCCTGTCTTCAACTTACTGACTATGTCATCACCCATCTCATTCGGAGAGACTCTGTTTCTGAGTTGGGAACCATTATCATTCTATCATCCTGACATACCATCTCATTTATTCACTATTACAAACTCAAGGATGCATTTTAGCCAGCTCTGGTACAGAATGTCAAAATGAGGATGTAAAATCTTTGTTTGATTTCCAGCAGTCTGCCACTACACATTTTACACAGGGTTGGCAACTGCCTGAAAAAAAGAAGCAAAAGCCAAAAAACAAAACAACCCCCCCCACCCAAGCAACCAAGAGCTTGATTAAAGTTTTGCCTCTGAAGGTAGACGTTGAAGGACAGACAAAGCAGGAGTGCAGCACCCTGCAAGGAGCGTTGTCTCAGGGTTTTGTAGCCCACAGAGCCCCATTATCCTCTCAGCTATGTGCTGCTGCTGCTGAATCCTATCTACTGCCTGTAATACTACCAGGTCACAGGTAGGCCTACAGTAGTTCTTTAGGGGTCTGTGCCAGGACAGGGAGTATGGGCCAGCAGCAGTAGCATGGGTGGGGGGACGGACAACCGTTCCCCATTTACCTTCTCCAAGCTGTAGGCCAGGAATCATCTCTCTGCCTGATGCCTCCTGCTCTGCATACAGCTCAAGCAGCTCGGACTGGGTAGCCAGCTTCTCTCTGGGAGTTTTTTTCTCTCCCTGTTTTCCTTTTGCCCAGAATTTCATCTTGGTTCGTTGAGGCCTGGAAATAAGAAGTATTTTATCTAAAACTAGCTCATTTCTGTTTCTAAACAATACAATCTGTACAAGCACTTCCTGGAAAGTTCATACAGTGACAAATTAGTAGGTATTCCTGTTCATCCTACTGTGTGCCTGGTCTTTTGAGATCAACAGGTATGTCATCAGCAGGTCTCAGAGACTGAGAAGGCCCTGCCAATTAAGTCTGCTGATACCTTTCAGGACCAGAAGTTTGCACAACTAGTGTGGACTTATCCTTAGCATCCAGTTTTGAGCTCTTGGTCTCTGGCAGGTATGATGGTGAACGGCAGGTGACTTGAGCAGTCACTGGAAAACTTTTGGCTTGGGAGCTCATCAGCAGACCCACATGGCAACCATGATCAATCTCAGTTCCCTTGGGGCATGCCACTGATGCAGTAGATAAGCCCAAGATGCCCAAAATGACTCGTTTAGTGGCCAGCCTAGCTGTAACCGATGGGAATTCTGTGTCCTGGATTCCAACGATTCGATTAGGAACAACACTTTCTTTGGAAGCTCCAGCTACTGTTTTTTCTTGATGACAGGTCGGGCTTACTTAATTCAGAAACATATACCAAATCATAACTGAAGATGTATTTACATTCAGTTTTAAAGGGAATTTGAAGAGATTTCCTTATAGAGAGATTTAATCACACTCTTTACTGAGAAAGGGGCCTTACACTGGATCCTTTATTAAGTGGCCTTGTATGTTTCATAGTTTCTAGGGTCGGAAGGGACCTGAGAAGATCATCTAGTCCGACCCCCTGCCATGGCCGGAAAGAGTACTGGGGTTAAACGACCCCAGCAAGGTGTTCATCTAACCTCTTCTTAAAAACCCCCAGGGTAGGAGCCTGCACC